GTCGCATACAATTCCATTTTATCGACAACAATGTGTGAACAAAGCAAACAGACATAAAAGGTAAAAATGTATAAAAAAGGGGAACAGCAGTCAACATTGGGTTATAATCTTAACCACTATAAAAACAAACAAATATTTCAACAAAGAAAACAAAATGGCATATAGACAAATCACATAACATAAAATGAAAGACAAGAATACAAAACATGACCACAGCAAAACAACACATTGGCGGGATGCATAAGGTTCGAGCCACGCCAAAAATATATTACCAAACATGGACTATACAGTAAAGGTTAATAATTCACAAATACAAATAAAAAAACACTATAACACGTAGATGATAAACAATGTCAGTACCTAGCATCTATACTTCAAAATGACCGTTTAAGTATATAGTAAAACTACAGTAGTTGCTCAAGATGCTCAAATCTTGTACGTTATTGGAATATACAAAGTAATGTAGCAAACAGAAACTTTGGGATTCACATGAACTTCAAAAGGAACGAGATCGGGGGTGTCGACAGATTTAGCGTCTCCTGCTATGTATGCATCACCCACCATGCTTATTTACACTCCGTAAAATATCACAATCGGGAATAGGACACTATTGACTTCTCTTTCCATTCTATCCGACTGACCTGCACTATGGAATCTGTCTTTTAAGATACATCTCGACTTATTACTTTGGCATTGCTCTTTTTACATGCAATTTGACAGCACATCATCCTGGTACTTGTACCAACCCAGTAGTCAGGATTTCTTTTCCAAATTATAATTAATAGGGTTAATAGGGTAATGTAAATAAATCAACTGTTTCTTGCATGCGATCCGATTGCAGGACCTTGATTTTAAAGAATACATAAGGAACCCTACGACATGTGACTGTTCCCACTCGCCTTATATTTACAGCCCCTCTGGCCATGTTATAATGGGGATCTCAACAAAATTCAGCATGAACATCGCCGAAAGGTGATATCTCATGGTCCTAAGTTTAGAGAAACCCAACATCAATTGGAACCGTAACTTCAAAATAATTATGGATTCCACTGAGGACTACGCTAGAGCATGGGCTAAACGAGAAGAAGTTGAACTGGACACTTTGTCAGAATGGGTCAAAACAATCACGTCTCTGATAAAACGTCGAATTCATAAGTTGAAAAACTGTGTGAATGATCGACAAAAGTCCATTTTCAGAGACAAAGAGGCACTGAAATGTTTATCATCTCTTCACGATAAATATGTTGTTGTTCCTGCGGACAATCCTTCAAATAGTAATGTTTTTGTATGTATATCGTATACTACGAGCTGCTTGTTAAAGAATTAGGAATAAATGAGCACTCATGTAATCCCACATACAAAAAGATATCATTTGATAAGAAAGAGATTTTGGCGCTTTATAAGTCCTGCATGGCCTCAATGAAAATTACATCAGATATTGATGATGTTCTTTCCATTAACAATACAAACTTTTCTGATTGGGTTCCAATTAGATATATCCTCCAGAACTAGAAATTAAAGAAACAACAGACGCGGCTTCTTTCGGTTTATTTTTAGACTTATACCTCGAACTTGACGTAAGCGGTCATCGTAGTACCAGAAGTCCAGAATCTATGACAAACGAGACGATTTTAATTTTGAAATTATAAATTTCCCCCACCTTAGCACCGTTATACTAACTTCACCTGCATATGGAATATACATTTCCCAACTCATTCTATATCCAAGAGCTTACAGCTGTACTCAGAATTTTCAAAACGTCACAAATGTCTGAGCAGAAAGTTGATGAACCAGGTTTATGTCAAAGAAAGTCTCGTCCTTTTTCTATTGGACAATACCAAGACATTATTGATGAATGTTCCATATCAACAAAACAAATAATACGTGATGGTCTTGAAGTATAGATTCTAGGTACTGACGTTGTTTATCATCTTAATTACGTGTTATAGTGTTTTTATTTGTCTTTGTATATTTTTAACCTTTACTGTTTAGTCCATTTTTTGGTAAATAAAGACAGCAGTAGTATATCGCTGTTCAATAATCATAAATCGATTAAGCGAAAACAAATCCGGAATACAACTAAACTTTAAATTAAGTTGACGAACCATAATATATACTTTTGGCGTGGCTCGGTATTTATACATCCCGGCATTGTGTTATTGTGCTAAAGTATTTTTTTGTATTCTTGTCTTTTATTTTTGCTTATGTACTTTGTCTAAAGAGTGTCTATACGTCATTTTGTTTTTCTTGTTGACATAGTATTTGTTTTATAGTGATTAAGATTATGATTCAATATTGACTGCTGTTCCCCAATTTTTGACAATTTTACGTATTATGTCTGTCTGTTTTGTTCACACATTGTTGTCAATATAATGGAATTATATGCGACTGTCATACACGTGGGAGGTTTAGCTAGCTATAAAACCATGTTTAGTCCACCATTTTCTACATGAGGAAATGCCTGTACCAAGTCAGGAATTTGACGGTTGTTTTCCATTCGTTTGATGTGATTGAGCTTTTGATTTTGCCATTTGATAAGGGACTTTCCGTTTTGAATTTTCCTTGGAATTCGGTATTTTTGCTATTTTAATTTTGACTATATACTTAAATTTACATGAATAGTTATTTTATTATTGAACAATATTCTGATTTAAAAAATTGTTTTTGTAGTTTGCACTTTGAGGATGCAACATTAAAATGATAAGAGTAAAATTTATCTTCTAAACAATAAACGTGGAATATCTTATAAATGTTATACTTATAACATATAGAGGAATATTATATAGATTTGTTGCTATTTCAAAGTTTTAAAATGTAAATGTATACACCAGATGTTCAATCAAGTACACATAAATTTTGGCTTGCATATCTTTACATTTCATCAAGTTGACGAACCATAATATGTATAAAAGAATCTTAAAGCTATTGAAATTTTAAACTGTTAGACCATTAGCGAAAGTCTCCCTCCTATCTTATAACCAATTCCACGAATTGGACAAAAAGAAAATAAAGAAAACATGTACCAACATGAAAACGTCTTAAAAATCTGTCTTTGTATATCTTTAAGCTACCGTGGCCTTTCCCAGGTAAGAAAACGTTGAACATATTTTACCAAGAGGTAAGCTTTTTCAATTCAATTGTTTAATATTTAGGTATGTAGCCTATCCAAATTTAATTACTTTCATCATGTAAGTTTGAATGATAATAAAAAGAACATTTGAAACAAAACATTTGTTTTATTTTTACTTAAAATCTTTTTTGTATTTAAAATTCAAAAGTTCCATTCAAAGCAAATGTCCCACCAGCACGATAATATAACTCTTGAAAATCATGTTAAACTTATCCGACGCTATTGACGATAAACTTTTATAAGAAAAATGATGAGTAAATATTCTGGAAATCTAAAGAGTTTTGATGGTAGAAACCATGGCTGAAAAACATAAAAGAAAATAGAAATATACATTTCTTTCAGATTCCATGCTTCCAATAAGACGACATATAGCAACATTTTGATAAATACATAAAAACGTTATCTTACAAAATGACCGAAGTAGCTGTTTACAAAATTTAAATTCATAAAAAGACAAGGTAATTAAAAGAACCGATTCAAATCTTAGTGCAAAATTTAGATGAGGGAATCGATATAAACGCCAAAAAAAAAATAGAAGACACAATGATTTAACAATACCAATGTAGGATATCAATCCGTCTATTTAACTAAAAAATGACCAATAAGTTTTCTTGAGTAATGTCTAAAATAAAATTGAGAAAATTAAGAAAAAAAACATTGTTTAATCTTTCGAGATGGTTCTATTCATCAACTTTAAACCATTTTGTTTTTTAACAAAATGTTGGTTTTATGTATAACACGTACAAAAAAAAATAGAAGATTTGATTGACTTGTGATCATCTTCATCTGATCAAAATTGTATACTTAGTTGTTGTATATTACGTCCATAACATGAAGGTGTCAAGCATGTTTGTACGTTGTCTACCATAAATTAAAAGAAGTAATAATTTATGGTTCAACTACATATTATAAAATCAAATGCCAAGTATGATATGTATATAGTAGTCCCGATTTTGTATAAGCACAACATACTTACTATATCAAAGACATTAACCATTAATTATTAACACAGAAACAATTTCAGATGAGTTTTCCGTTAGTAACTGCCCCTACAGTAATGATAAGTGCCTATTGTTTTTATATTAGAAACCTCATGCGATTGAGCTGTGAATATTGTTAAATGTACAATTTCTATTCAAATCAGGTTATTATATATCACAAAAAATTTGAAGAACTAATAAAACACGAAAACTTCAAATCGTACAGCAATATCCGGACAATAATTCAGAGCTAAGCTTGAAAGAGGTACATTCCATTATTTGAAATTGTAGCTTAATTTTCCAGTAACATTTTTCATGGAATGGAATATTTTCAAACAATCTTTTAAAACATCATTAATAGGGCATTCGGACGATAACATTAGTTTTTATGTTATTGTATATTCAGGCAGAGAATGCATTGGCTATTCTTGGCACAAAATTCATTTTTAGCTTGTCAGTGCTCTCCGATATATTTAATTTTGATTTTCAATCTGTTTTGATACGAGCTTAACTATTGAGTCTTATGTAGACGAAAATCACGTCTTGTGTTTTAACCACTAGGTAGATATCTCTGCCAGTAGACGTTAAAATATAAATAATCATCACATATATCCTTCTAACACGGAGTTTAAACTTTTTTTCCATCGCTACCTCCTCACTACAGGTCAGTGGGGGTAACAAAATAAAAACCAGTTGAAAAGGGACTGACTAATCAGATGGACACTTTTCACAAAAACAAAAAAAAACTTACATAACGACGAAAGACATATCTATCGAAAAAAAAAGGCACTGCTTGAATTTTGCTACATAGATTTGAAGGCTAATGCAGACCCATCATAACATATAGATACATTGTAAACCATGTCTCCAAGATTGTCGTATTATGCTATTCACATACTGTTTTATGTTCTATTTAGATGAGTAGCATGAATTTAATTTCTGCATCAATGTATATTTTCCAGGAACATAATGATAAAGAAGAACGTATATTATTTGCTGATATGGCTCCTGTACATACCAACTATTTTATGTGGGTAGGTTACATATAATCTATTATTATGTACCTGTTTAAGTGTTTGAAAGGTAATAATGGTACTAAATGATAAATTTCCATACCAATTCTGTTTGCGCTTAAGTTTTCCATTTGCTTGATGTGTTTGAGCTTCTGATCTGTGTTAGTTCTGTAGCTTATAGGCTAAGACCATTTACTAGTAAAATATGACTGTCCTTCCGATGTATCAATTCATGCCACTTTCGTTAACTTGACCACCTGTTTTGTTTTGATATTGGATTTTGCTTTAAAAACTCAAAAACATCTTCTTTATTGTTAAACAGCACTGTGTTTTATGAAGAAAATTTTTTTTACGAGATTTAAATTTCATCACAGTTATTATTTCGAGTCATGTTTTTTTTTAAATACGAGTTACTTAAATGTTTGCATGAGAAAGAAACAAATGATCATCATATAAAAATTAAATTTTTAATCTTTTCTGTAAAATTTACACCAATACTATTTTGGTTTCATTATTAAATCTCTATATTTAACGAAGGCTTATAACCATCAATATGCATTCAATAACTTTGTTTGGAGCGGGAGTTTAAACTTTCAATGATAACAATGAACCCATTTGAGGGGTTCGATATTCCCTTTTTTCTTCAAAGGGCTTTACAAATCAGTCTCCTTTGTGTTTTTGTTATAATGTACCCAAACTCAAAGCAAAAAAAAAATAAATAAAAAAAATACATTTAAAAACTTATTTATGTAAGAAAAGTTTTGACGATGAATTTCTTTTGATGTTATTCTTAACATTTCATACAAATGTATTCAAAGATGTCTAAAAATTCGTGTGTAGAGGATATTTATAACTGACGATTTTGCCCGCAAAGACCACATCATATTCACCCAAGTTGTGTTTGTTAAAGTTAGATGAAACATTTTTTTGGAGAAATGATTCGAATTCATTTATTTTCATTGTGTCGTATTTCCATTATTATTTCATAACTATAACATCTATTTTACCATATTTTAAAAAGCTAGAGTTGTACCATCTACGATATTAAATTAATGAGATGTGGTATGATTGCCATCTATCCACGAGAGATTAAATGAAGTGAATGTTAGCAATAATAAGTCATTATCAGCCTTCAACAAAAAATAGAAATCATACACTATAGTGTTTGTGAAAATAACCATGACAAAATCTAAAACAATTAAAACGAGAAATTCAAAGCCCTGATTCATGATAAAAAGCGGAAACCAATTATAACGGACGGAAATAACCGGCAGCCATTGAAATACAGGCTCCTGTCATTGGACATGTAAAGACACAGAAAGATCGTGGTGTCCTTAAACATGTTTGTGAACGCACAACCCTCTTTACTTTGGACAGCATTGTTGGAACACACCAAAAGTGTAATAAGTAGTTAAACATGTTCCACTTAAGTATTTATATATTTGCTGCATTTATTCCTGTCACAATCGAAATAAGAGATCAAATCGAATTTCAAGTAGACTAAATGTAGATGATTTCCTCATACCTAACATATAGACTTAAATATCTGCGAAACTACTAAATCCGTTATCGTATATTTTTTTTTAGAAAACAAACTTTAATTAAGTCGATTTTCAAATTTCGTAAACCTAATTTGCGATCATAAAATCACCAATTGATGCCGTCGGAGATTAAAATACAATATTGTTATCTCTATTCTAATGAAACTGACAGAAAACAACGTCACATCATATATTTAACATCTGGCAAACGTCGTTTGCGCTTGCGCGTACGTTTTCATAGCATCAATTGTGAATTGATGCCATGCAAGTTGGAGACGTTATCTAATAAAAATGAACGTTACAAACGATGTTGCGTTAGAATTATCAATTGAAAAGCTACAAATTAAGGTAATATGACCGAGAGCCGCGAGCGTCTCCTGATATGCATGCATCATTCGACATGCAAATCCTTGCTAAGTCAAAAGTCATAATTCAAAATAGGACACAATAAGTATATTAACAAATCGAAAGTCCTTTCTGATATCAGTTATTCCGGTATTTGAAATATTAATTGAAAAAAGGTAAATATAAAATAATTTGAGTTGCACAATTTTTTTTCAGAAAGAAGAAATTACATACAAGGATGACGTTTTTTTTATAAACTACACACTGGGACAATAGTAATTTATATAGATGATCTCAGATTAATTAAATAAGTTTTTCAAGGGATTGAAGGGTAGACAGTATAACCGATACTTTGTGACAAGAAGCCTATTTAAGTTTAATGATAATGATGCCAACATTATATATTTCAGATTGTGCACATATTATAGACGATCATCATATACGACTAGCTGTTTCATTATTGGTAGATGTACACGTTATCGGTATGTAGTTAAGTCCAACCAATATCAAATGACTTACGTCTATGCATTTATTTGATGTCATGAATATCAGTTAAATACCCTGAACAAATTGGAAAATCAAAATGCTCGAAATCTCTATAATCAAACAGAAGTAAAATGTTTGAAAAGTTCCAATTAACAAAAAAAAAAAAAAAATATGAAGACATTGGCTCTTTGTAAACAACATTTGGCATATAAAGCAAACGATTTTGCAATACAACCTTGATGTACTATCAATGCCTTCACTGATTTTTTATGCGGTACATGTAGGCTACTAAAAAGTAAAAACATTGAAACTGTGTTATAACTCGTACTTAGGAAATTTATTTTGTCAACTATTTTTCATCTTACCTGCAATGAGGCTCACAGACCTTCCTCAGCGACATTTTAAACTTTGTCCAGATTTAACAATAAGCTAGGTGTGTCGTAAACCATTATCTTTCAGTGCCGATGATGCCGCCGTATGTTTTACAAAAAGCAGCGAGTATAAGACTTAATATGGAATGAAACGCTTCTTAGTAAACAACTCTAGACAACTCTCTATCAAAGACCGCATAGCATAGAAGTTAACAGCTATAGGCCACCGTACGGCCTTCAGCAGTGAGCAAAACAATCAACGCATAGTGAGCGATCAAAAAATCAGTTGGAAACAGCATCAGATCGGTACAGAGCACATGGAAACCCTAACAAAAATTCAAAAGACACTTAAGTACAGATCTACGAGTACATGAAGATAATGAAAGCTACTTCAACGCAAACAACAATTTATAAAAATATCATGTGTCTAAGACTAAAATATCAATCAGTTCACATCCAGCATTAAATGGATCTAGTGTAAAGACGTCATTAACAGTCAGAGAAAAATATGACCTTGTGCAATGCTAGAGTATCGTCAGATTGTAGAACCATGAATGTACGTATGTCTATAATAATGATATTTAGTTTGGTTCTAATTTACTGATAACAAAATCAATATTTATACCGATAAAACACTATTTAATGATCTAATAACCGTGTTTAATTGGTAACCTTTTAGAATAAATTTATTTAAAGGGTCGCTTTGTTTACCAGGATCTTATCTATTTTTACTGGCACGGTTTATTATTTCACCGTAAATTAAGGATGTGCTATCCCGTTCGTAATAAGTTTTATACACGTATATCCAAAATTTCTTTACACGTTATTAGGGGTGACCTAAACATTGTCACTAATTGCGAAATATATTATCCAAAGGCCCCCAAAAAACAGTGAGACTTAATTCATTAATAGATAACACAACTTTAAAATACTTATGTATTCAGTAGCGGTTTTTGTCGGGCAATGGACTAAACGCAAAAATGAAGATATGGATAATAATTCCAAATGTTTAAAGGCAGAGAAGTTATTGAAACAAATTAGAATAAAAAAAAGATAAAACTGAATGGGTCTATGAATACGCATGCTACATCAATTTTCAAAGACAGAATGTTGCTAAGCACTTGTTCTACCTCCATGACACTTATGTTATTGTCCCCCACAGATAAAGCCCCAAACAATAAAGTGTTTGTGTGTAAATCGCTTTCCATCAACTACTTGAAAAAGGAAATTCATCTTAAACATTTATGACACCCATCAAAGAGGAAATCCTGAATGTACATAGAACTGCTTTATACTATATTTCCTTTGTAATTGCAACCAAAGATGAAGACTTGGATCGTTCTCCACTTTATTGGATACCTAAATTGTATATGAGTTTTTACAAACAACATTATATTGCTGGGTCTTCAGATTGCTGGACGAAACCTCTTTATAAATTATTAACATCAATATTATCACAAATCAAAGCTAGGCGTCAGAGTTATTGTGAAAATAACTACTTAAGGGGCAATATGAATTAAATGGGGATATTAAAAATTCCAAAATACTTTTAGAGTACATACAATCTAAGTCTCTTTCCTGTATTAATAGTATAAAAACATTTGACTTTTCCACCCTTTACACAAGTATTCTTCATTTCAAACTTTTAAGGACACATTGAGATAATTGGTCTTACTTTGTTTCATGAAAAAGAAAAGACAACACAATTACAAATAACTTGGTTTAAAGGGGGACAAATCATAATAAATTGTAATAAAAATAATAGTAATAAAAACCTCTGATTTAAATACACTATATCTGTAACTGACATTTTTAAGATACATGATTTTGTAGTTGGCAGTATATTTTGTACATTTTACTTATTCCTTTATTCAAATGAGACAGACTTCACACAGGAGCTTCTTATTTGAACGCAAAGAAAAAAAAAGTAAAAAACAGAAATACCGAGCCCAAGAAAATTGAAAACGGAAAGTCCTTTATCAAATGGCTAAATCAAAAGCTCAAACACATCAAACGAATGGAAAACAACTGTCATACTCCTCACATTGTGACTATGTTGAACGCATATAAAATCGAACTCGAAATGAAGGAGTCAAAAGATACGGTTAAATCTGCCTCCAATTATGACTTACATCTCAAAATTTACAATGAAGGTCGGTTGAACACGAAACTTATCACCAAGTTTAGACATGAATGAAAACATACTGTTACTAAAACTAAGAATAAATCTACTTCTTTCATACAGGCAGGTTAAGGTAAAAAAAACTTATCTTGCAACAACTATTAACGAAAGGGAAATGTGGGTGCTCGTTAATTAGACAGCATTCCAATGCCACATAAGAAAAGAACAGGAGGTGGTTCAGAGGTCAACACACGGTCTTCGACAATAAACATTGTGTGTAATATTTCTAGCTGCAAATAACGCCGTATGTTTAATGCTTCCCAAGATGTGGACGCGTCTGGCGTAAAATGTTTTAATCCTGGTATCTATGGTGAGTTTTTTTATTTTTACCATGGCATTGGTCATATACCCCACTATTGCCGGGTTAGCAAAGGCAATGAAACCCCTGCACAACTTAATTCAAATGTATGTCAAAAAGGTGTTGAGGTGTATTTGGAATCTGAAGAAAATATTAGTTAAATTATTGGTTCTAGATAGTTGTGTCGCTTCTTACGGTGTATAATTTCATAACTGGTTTGCTATGCCCATATCTGTAGTCACGTTTTAGATTACAATGAACGTAATTTATGTATTACAGATAAATTGTTGTCACGGATTTAGATACCACAAATTACTTAAAACTTTTACCAAATTGTTTCATTGATACAAAGATTTGGTTTAAAAAGTTTGACTGTACCTGATATCACATCCCAAATTTGCGGTGATATTGTTTATAGCCAGTAAATTTAGAAACGATAAATTTAGTAAACTAATTGATCCTTTAAATAAACTTATTATTTGAGCATTTGCATTATTCGCGTATTTGCTGGCGTATCCGTATCGACTTTTCGTATAACACGTATATGAGGAAAGGATAAATTAAGTCAAGTTGGTCCCGATGGAGATATTTTATAATGCATTTAAGTTTAATCTAGTTTTAATTGAGGTCGGGGCTAAATCATTATCTTATACAAATCTGCCCGATACGTATACGTCGATCCGTGCACGTATCCAGATACGTGAATAATGCAAATGCTCTATTATAGGTTATCAATTTAACACCGCAATGAAATCTTTAGATATTGTTTTATCGGTACTAACCTTGATTCTGTTTTAATAGATTAAAACATAACTTTATATATGTCTCTATAAAATATGTATTATTATGAGTACTTAAGATCCTACATCCTGTCGATACTGTTTACTTATTTTTTGCATTGCACAAGGTCATGTGTTTTTCAGACTGCTTATGACGTCCTTACACTTAATCAGTTGGATGTGTATTGATTGATACTTCAGTCGGGGAAGACATGATTTATCTATTAGTTGTTATTTGATTTGAACTTGCTTTCAGTAACTGCGAGTACTCGTATATTGGTGCTTTGTGTCAATTTATTTTATGGTAGGTGTTTTATTTGTGCTTCGTACTATCGATTAAGCCATTTGCAACTGATTTTTACAGTTCTGCTTACGTTGTGCTATTACATCCACTGTCCTAGGTTAGGGGGAGGGTTGACTGCTTAGAAACATGCTTAACCCCGCCACGTTCTTTATATGCATATCCTAAGTCATTAGCCTGTAATTCAGTAGTTGTGGTTGGTCTCTGTCTTTCATATATATTTTTGTAACTTGTGTTATATAAATCAGGCTGTTTGTTGTCTCGTTTGAACTGTTTCCCATATTTCATGTCAAGGCTTTATAGCTTTTGCACATTCCAAGTGGGCGTACGGTGACCTATTATTGCTTTTATCTTCGGCATGTTAACTCTGATGGATAGTTGTCTCATTGGCATTCATACCACATCTCCTTATTTTCATATTAATGTTATTTTTTGCTTTTGCTTTACAACATTCGTTATTTTGATCTTCAATATATGCTCTGAAAATTCAAGGCTCGAGCAACCAAGGCTTAAGGTCATTAATCTTTCGAGTACGATTATCGTACTCAGACTCGCAAAGTAACCAACTAAAATACTGGATTTCGTGTTTCGAGCACATACTTTGTACTGAGTAAAGTTAAATGACCGGAAGGTCAGAACTAGATTAATGAAATATTTATCATTAGCATTCATTTTACCATTTTCAGATATACATCTGTAACGAAACAATCTATCGATATGTTATTAAGCAAACAATATATTATTTTCCATTTATATATTCCATTTACAGTCGAACAAGTTATCCTGCCTGTTGTGTTGGGTATTCAGACATTACACCAGATTGTGTATATTGTAAGTGTTCAATTAGATGATAGTCAACAGTAGTTTGCCAATGTTCAAATCTCGAAAATCTACTAAGATATATCAGGGTTAAAAACAGAAAATAAGGGAATCGCATGAATTCCAAAAAGAACGAGGCTGGGTGCCTTGACAGTGTAAATAACAAACCCGTAAGTCTGAAATAGAGTATTTATACTAGACTGTACTGATTTTCACTCGACCATTCCAAATTGGTCTGATATTTACCGACATGACTCGACTCGTACTTTGAACGTATACTTTACCTGTACTTAACAAAGTAAAAACTAATTTATAAAGTTTAAACCATACACGATTTAAGTCTGAACCATTCTCCACAAATGTGTTCTCGACCAATTCTGAACCATACTCGACAATGAATTGACATTCTATGAGATGTAATGGATATTAACAAAATCCACCTAATATATTTGTGGCATGATATTTTTCAAATTAATTCATATACTATTAGTCAATTTTATCTAATGTATCTGTTGGTTTAAGATTTTATCAGAAGCTGATTTATAATACGCATTTTGAAAATTTCAATAGAAATGGTTATAAATATATATAGCTAGTTACTTAATGTTGCATTTTGTGTACTGTTTGTCTTTTCATAATTGTTCAGTGCTGATGCGGCGTAAAGCAGTAACCAATCAATCAATCAATCAATCATAATTTTTCGTATTTTGCCATGACATTGTCAATTTGTTTGAAAATCCCTTTGGTATCTTTCGCCTCTCTTTTGATTACTTTCGTTGACAGATTTGAGTCAGCAAAATGTTTCTTTTTGTCATCTTTTAAACCTTATTAGTCAAATCACCAATGCAAATTATCTATTTTTAACCTACTATACCAATAATTATTGATTAATTTTTCAAATTTTTCCAACCCATCCCAAATTTATATATTTTATCTTAAATTTGAACAAAAATATTTAAAAAAGAAAAAAAAACATTACACACTCATTCACACTAGTGTGCTATATGTAGATATATGTTTATAGATATATGTTTGAAAGTAATACACCATATAGACATGTATTGCTGAATTAAACAATGCTTCATGCTGGGCTAATTCACAATTGGTCTCCTAGGTGACCAGGTTATTGTCAGTTACACGTTGACATTCATCCTTCATTTTGTTCTTCTTACTAAGACACATCTGTGTTACATTGGACAAATCAACATAGAAAGCTGAAATGGTTGCTTAGTTCACAATTAACTTAACACGGGTAAAAATAACCTAAGAGTGTACTTTGTAAATCTTAAAATTATTTTTGATATCAACTTTATTTAATCTTTAATCTATATGTTTATGAAGTTGAAATTGATGTTTTAAAAAACATAAAACACCGGAATAGTTGAATTCAACAAGCACATGTTTCAAAATTAATTTTTTTTGTCAAATTTGTTTTTACAAATTTAAAAGTTTTACTACTGGTTAGATTCCATAATGAACACCATATGGATTGACTTTGCCTTGAAGAATCATTGTGGCCAATTATTCTTGTAATAATATTCTTTACATTACCTTAACATTGTAAATTTAAATTTTTCAATACCAAATTTATTCTTTTTGGGAGCTACGAAGAAAAGGCATAAGAAATTGCTTATACTTTAGGATTGTTGAACATTCAAACTAAATTAGAATGAGAATATGAATTTCTATGCACTTGTATCAATTTAAGCTAATTAACTCTTAACAAGATGATTCTTACCGCATAGCAGTTGTAAATAAAGGGATAGATTTTTCATATCCTAATATAATCAGAAAGGTTTTCCTCTTTAAGAGGTTGTTTGTTTATCAAAATCATTAAGCAGGCCATCCCAAATATTGCTCGCTTCGGACGTTATTCATTTATAAAATTGTGATAAGGGGAATTGGGTTTTTCATTATTGAAGGCAGTACGGTTGCCTATAATTGCTTACATTCACTTCATTAGAACTATGGTGGATAGACATGGAAATTTCACTCACATGAATTTCACATGAATTAAAATTCATGTGAATCTCACGTGAAATTCACTTGAATTTCACCTGAAATCAGTTCATGTGAGTTTCATGTGAATCTCATGTGAAACTCTTGTGAATTTCACTTGAAAATCACCTGAATTTTGTTTTACGTGAATTTCACGTGAATTTTAAAAACAAAGTTATTCAAATAACATCTAAATTTCCTAATTGAATTAAAATCATGAAAGATACCAATTTTGTTTTGAAAAATTCACGTGAGATTCAGGTGAATCATAATTCACCTGAGATTCACATATATTTCACGTGAGTTTCATGTATAAGCTCGTTTGAGGTGAAACTCACATGACATTTTGTACATGATTTTAACGTGAGATTCATGTGAAATTCACGTAAGCAAAATTTGCATAATTGGCAATCATACCACATCTCCTTATTTTCAAAAAAATCCCTTTTGGTCATATAGCTCTCCTCGTGTTCTTACGTGTATTTGGCTTTTCCATTTTAGGCTTTGAGCGTTCCCGATAGACAGAGAAAGTGTTTTGAACGCAAACAATTTATTAAGCTTATAAGTATTTATTTTTAATGTTTAACGTACATAAATGTGTCCCATTGTTGCCCTAGTGATATGTTGTTAAACATAAATGATACAGTAATCCTACAACAAAATCTCCCCCCCCCCCAAAAAAAAGGAGAAAATAGGTCAACATCTAGTCTTCATCAATAATTGATTAGTATAAATGCAATATGTCAAACTGCATACAATAAAAAAAGCTTTGCATTTGTTCTGATTTCGCCAAGACTTTAGGCATTTTTAGCCATCTTCTATTAAAATTTATGACTAAAAATATATATATGTTTTAAGCTCTTTGTAATGGAAAACCTACAGCCCGTGGAGGATGCACTGAAGTAAACCCTACAGATACAATATATTATAGAAATGGAGGTAGTAGAAATCAAGGAGGAGGAACCTGTATATCTCCTGATGTTTGTGCTGACTGTCAGGATGGATTTTACATCAATGGTGCACTTTGTACAAGTAAGAACATGTTTAGATATCTATACATCTGTTCCCTGAAAGGATATTGATGGGATATCAAAATATGTTTTTAGTTTTTGATTCAGTGAGAACGGATTGTCATATTTACTACAAGATGTAAGAAGAGTTGTCGTGTATCAATCCTTGTACTAAATGATGATTTGTAGAAAATGGACAAAAAAAAGTTAGGGGTCAGATGTAAGTATTAATACACATATTAAATGTTCCAATTGCTCATTATTTTATAATAATGTTGTCTTACAACATTAATGTTGTTTTGTTGCCTTGTTGGCTTGCTGTCTCAAATTTAAGCTGTTGACTCAGATAAAGGTTTCCCCTAAATGTAATGAAACTATATTGGAAATTATGCAATTAAATTTCATATCAACTTTGCAAAACATTTGAATAAAGGAATCATGACTGAGGTCAAACGGCAATTTACATGGAAATGAGACATGCTGATGATAATGCTACTTCAGACCAAATATCATTGACTTATCATTATTTACCTTAAAACCGACATAAGCAAGAACTTAAACATTTAAACTACGGGATGCACTACGTACTTTTAATCAATTGGTATATCATGTTTTCTGTGTTACTTTAGAACATGATTAAAATTTTCAGTTACACTAAATTCAAAACGAGTGAAGTTTTTTGTTGAATTTTCTAGAACATTATTTATCATTTCATAATGCTTTTGGTATATATTGATTAAAACAAAAATTAATAGTTGAATATATTATTTCTTTTATGATTGCTGATGTCTTTTCTAAAGGCCGATTCGATTAGAGATGATACAAATTTCCCACTCCCTTTTTGTACATGGTATTGCATAAATCATTTCGTGTAGGTACCTGTTTCAATATCTGTACTTTTGTTGAGGTTCATATCAAGTTCTTAATTTTTACTTCACAAAATCAAAGTCAAAGTCAAAGATTTTATTGATATAAAATCCAAAATCTGGATTGTCATCAACACAAAAACAAAGAACAAACATTAATCATTACAATCAATTATATATCAATACATAACATAAAAAAAAAATATATATAAAGAGATATATATATAAAATCTTGTAATTTTTCGATCCCCCCCTCCTTCTATCTATTTGACTGAGGAGGTATAGTTTTAGATACTAGTAATACAATTTATATAATATATAACATAAAATAACTTAAGTTAGTGAACGTCTGAACTTGTACACCTCATCAATACCTTTATGCAACATTTACTGACATCATAATCATCACTTAGAAATATGAAATAGAATTCTTCAATGTCTGAAAGATTATTGAAAGATAATAAAATATCTGAAATATTCTGAAAAAATTTATTCCTGAAATCATTGAGTTTGGTACATTTTATGGTAAAGTGTAATTCATCTTCAACTTCAAATTTACATAGGGGGCATAATCTGTTTTCTAAATCAATCTGTTTATGTCTGCCTTTTTCAATCATAAGAATACTATTACTTATCCTTGTTCTTACAAAGTTTGAAATATCAGGTATCTCTATATCTAATTTTAAAAGTTCTCCATATCTAATTTCTTCTTCAAATCCTTGTAGGTTCTTAATTTGTTTCCTCTTTTATCAAAAACACTTTTTGAAACGGAATGGTCCCAAAATTTTATGTAATCATTTTTCAGTTTTTTATATATAGCAAAAGTTAAACGATTTTTACTAAATGAATTTTGACTTTCCCAGACATGTTTAAATCCAACTTTTTCAAATAAAAGTTTAATTTTTGTTCTATACCAGTCTGAGTTATAATTGACACTTGATGAATAAATCTTATTTATTAAACTATCTGGATTTGAATTGACTACATGATGCCAGTAACCTACACAAAGTTTAATGGCATCAACAGAACATGGGATCATACTCAATTCTCCCAAAACTGCCAAATTTGATGGAGTTTTTTTTAGCTCCTAAGATATATTTAGCAAATTTAATTTGTACTTTTACAGGTTGATATAAAAAATATCTTGACTCAATTGAAGCATAATTTTTGAACAAGGTATCTAGACATAAAGTTTCACTACAGTAAAGAAGTATAGGTTTTACACATGAGTCAAATAATTTAAGATTTGGTAATATATTTTGCTTGTCTGAATGTAGTGTTTTGTAAATGCAAAATGATGCTTTCCTTGCTTTTTTACATAAATATTCATTTGCTTTGGTGAAGTTACCTGAAGGTTTAAATAATACTCCAAGATATTTATATTCTTGTGTAATTTCTAGTGCATATTCCTTGTACTTAAAATTGTCTTTTTTAATTACTCTTCCAGATTTATTGAATATAATAACCTTTGATTTGTCTATATTTACTGATAAATTCCATGTGTCACAATAATATGATAACTTACTTAAACAATTTTGTAGACCTTTTGCAGAGTCGATATCAAAACAATATCATCTGCATACATAAGACAAGATAAAATTACATTGTTTATTAAAGTTGGGTCACATGAGTTGTCAAATATTTTGACAATATCATTTACATATAATAAAAAAAAGTGTTGGACTTAAAATACATCCTTGTTTTACACCTACTTTTGATGAAAACGACGTTGTTTCACCTTCTGTAAATTTAATTGAGTATTTAACTTCATCATACATATTTTTCAAAATATTAAAAAACAACCAGATAGTTTATAACAGGACAATTTATATAACAATGCTTCTCTGTTAACTGTTTCAAACGCCTTCTTAAAATCAATAAAACAAACATACAATGATTTAGATAACTTGAAGGCCTTATCAATAAGACATTCAAAAGTGAAAATATGATCGCTAGTTCTACAGTGATTCTTAAATCAAATTTGTTCACTGCAAACAATATCATTTTTCTCTAAAAAATCGTCCAACCTGTTTTCCAAAACAACTAGATACTGCAATTCCTCTATAATTAGATGGGTCATTAAAACAACCTCCTTTGAAGATTAGTTTTATAAAAATTTCTCTCCATAAATCAGGATAAATTTTACATTTTAATATAGCATTGAAAAAATAAACAAACACCTTTGCATTAATATTACAAGTAATTTTTAATATTTCATTTAATATAACATCAGGCCTACTGGCCTTTCCGAACTTCAGCTTCTTTGCTGCCTTCTGTACCTCCTCAGTCGTGATCTCTGTATTTAAAATTTCAATATTTTGTTTTTTTATAAGAAGAAATGTGGATATCTTTATTATCATATCTATTTATATGATCTATATTCATTTATTGATTAAAATAATTCAACCATTCTTTTGGGGATATATTACAACTAGGGTCATTACTCACTTTTCCTTTTAACTTTCTTACTGACTTCCAAAATTCTGATGGATTTTTGTCCTCAGATTCTAAAATATTTTCCAATAATTTATTTTTAAATAGTCTATGTTTCTTTCTGGTTAATTTGTTTAATTCCTTTTTATTAAAAGCAACTTTTTGTATCAAATTTTCGTCCCAGGGATTATTACTTAAATTCCTTGCAAATTGTTTTACATGTCTGTATTTAACTTCATACTCGTCGTCATACCACAACTTTTTCTTTTTTTCTCCTTTTCTGAAAACTTGGTTTATTTGAAATATTTTTTTGCACTTTTTGTTGCAGCACCAATCAAAAAAGAAGAAAATTCAGAAACTTTTTCATTTAATACTGTACCAGAACTTTGTTTATCAAGTGATTTATTAATATTTTCTAAGTCTTCACATAATTTTTTAAAATAAAAATTTGACAATAAGTTTGACTTGAAAGAAATTTCCTTGTATCATTCCATCTAATATTTCTCATACTTTTCTTTAAACAATCTTGTAAATTTGTATCAGAAAATTGAGATAGGATTTTAACATGTATAGGACAGCATGATAAAATATATATAAGCCCTTTCCTTCAAATTTGATATTGTTCAACTGCTTAGAAAAAAAAATTGTATTCAATTGAAAAAAATGTTAACTGTAAAATCTATCCATTGGTATTGTAAATTTATTCTTCTTCTGTAAACCTGGATACTTATATATTGTTCAGATTCCTTTTAATGACTTTAAGTTTGAAAAATATTAATTACAATAGAAATTATGTCAAACCAATAATTTTATATGCGTTTTAAGCGACACTGTATATAAACCTGACGAAAAATGTTTCGAGATCTTTTATGAAAGATATACTTAAAACAAGTGTTGAGTAATATGCACAGCCGTGCAGGTATTTATCAAAACCATTTAGGATAAATATAAAACGTAATTTATACATTTCGAACTAATATTTTAGCACGCAGAAAATATTACTGTTAGTCATTGAAGACTCATTTCAGTGGTTAACGCATATCAAATAACCGAAATATACAATGACTAAATGTTTCGTTCTGATTTGTTTAACTAGTTGAATTAATATATTATACATTTGGATAAATCAATACTGTTAAGTATGAAATAAGAAAAGGTAAAATACTTTTCCAATGAAATAATTGTTCACAAGACTCCAAATGACGTGAATTTAAGCAACTATACGTATCCGTACGGCCTTCAAGAATGAATAATGCCCATTCTGGATAGTAGGCAACAAAAGAGCACGACATGATAGGAACGTTTGACCTAAAATGTAAAACCATTCAAACCAGAAGATCAACGTTCTATTTTATGTTCAAAACAATAAAGAAAACACTAATCTGATAGACAGCAACCAACGACAACCACTGAATTACTAGCACATACAGAATTTAGCTAGGTTTAATATGTTTGTGAGCGCCCACCCCTACCTTACCTTTGCACAATGTTGAAACAGAAAATCATTAGAAAAAACTGTAAAACTAGTTGAAAGGATTAACTAATCAGATCGATAAAGCACAACAAAAAAATGACAAAAGACACAATTTACCGATCGAAAAGTACTCGAAATTACTAAAAGCTTGTTTAAGATAAATAAAGGCAACAGTAGTATACAGCTGTTCAAAAGTCATCAATCGATTGAGAGAAAACAAATCCGGGTTACAAACTAAAACCGAGGGAAACACATCAACTTTAAAAGGAAAACAACGGAACAACAGAAACGCTGAAAGGAAACAAAAACAAACGCCAACATACATAGAAACGGACTATTGATAAAAAATTATAACAAAAATTTAGAAAAGATTGTCAATGAGCCAACTATCCATCCAAGATGACGTGGATGTTTATTTTCACTATGCCTTTCTATGTATTATATTCAGATAAATCCAAGTGATAAGTTTATTTACAACCCATATTCCTTTCCTGTAATTTGTCATGAGCTTCCATAGAAATTGTTGTTTTTCTCAGGTAAACTGGCTTTGATGATTCCGGGGCAAATGGAAGTCTCTGTTAAATTCCTTCACTTGTCTATAGTTTTGATTTTTAACATTCCCCTATCATTTACACTAGCTGTTGACCGTGACTGGCGACATGTTTTTGCAGTCTATGATATATTAACACCAGAACCGTCGTCTGTTCTAACTGTATATATAACAATTGTGTCCTTCTTTCGATTGTTATGTTTTGATTGAGTATGGAATTTAATCGCGGGTGATGCTTGCATAGTGGGGAACGGTTGCTCTGTCAACACAACCGATCTTGCTCCTTTTAGTTCATGCGACTCGCTCAATATTCGTGTTTAGCCTTGAATTGTTTATTTTTAATTGTTTTGATCAGATCTGTGCATCAGTGAAGTACGGTTTGCTTTAATTGGATTATGTAGAAATATAAAATAAACAGATAAAAGCAATTAAGCATCGAAATGACACAGAGAAGATTTTAATATTCAAGGTGTTAGAAAACTTAAGATAAAAAAACAGTTTGCTACACGTATTAGAAATTGTTGAAATAAAATTATCATCATGGTAGAGACCTAAATTATTAAAATGGTCAAGTAGAAATTGTACCGTTTATTCCATAAAAGTTATGACATTTGACCTTCTTTGTTAAAATGGTGATGAAAAAATGTACTGTTAAATGCTATCAAAGTTAGGACATTTGACCTTCTTTGTTGAATTGGTAATGAAGAAACTGTACTGTTTATACTTTCAAAGTTATTCATGCTTTGCTCATTGATAAATTATTTCGTTTTGACAACTTAATTTTCTTTATTTTTTGTAAGTACTATTCATGTTTTTTTTTTATTAAAATAATTTTGCTTAGAGAACAACCAGATGCTTAATACTTTGATAATTTTATTTATTTAGGGCTTTTTGTAACGGAAACCCTCAACATCTGAAAAGATGACGAAGATATAATTTTGTAATTCAAAGGACAAATATTCATAACAGAAGCAGAAACAGCAGCAATGAAACACGCAACATGCACTGACTAAAGAAGATCGGGTTATAGCTTAAGATACAAGCAAGACTTCATCAGATATTATCTTAGCTGTTTAACATTAGAGCGATATTCTAAGAGACGCATAAATATGATAAGAGTAACATTAGCCTAAAAATAAAACTTATGATATGTTTTTAATTCTGTATATTTTTCTTTTATATTACATGCAATAATGTTTGTTTATACTTTGTGTTTTCCCTTCAAATACAAAATCCTACTTAGTCGAGACTCCAAAGAAGTGAACTGTCATCATTCTTTTTAAGTAAAATTGATGAACAGAGGATGCATTTGAAGAAGGTGTCAGAATACTTTTTAAAGCTGACTTGAGAATTTGAATTTGAATATGTTTTATTGCTGTAACTGTATACTACTGATTATGTATTCATGCATATTGTAAAGCAGGTGTTACATTCATTTAATTCGAATATTTCATCACATCTATCTATTATTTATCACACAATATATCATAGATATGCTTGAAATGGGATAGATTATGTTACATTATTATATACATATCAAGTCATTTGAAAACAATTTAAAAATCTTTGTCAAGAGACATGGATAGCATCAATGTTTTTTTTAGGAATAAAATGATTATTTCAATACCTGTGTTATTACATACAACGATTAAAAAAGATTTAACCTGGGAAAACGTTTATGGTAGTAATTGTGCATTCCCATGATTATACTACTGAATTGTATTTATTTGTATTTCATTTTTTTTTTTAATTGTTCACGTAAGTAAAATAGAAAAAACACAGAATGTATCATGTCCAAAATCCTGACTCATTACAAGTGAGAGGTTTAGCAAGCTATAAAACCATTTTGAATCCACCATTTTCTACATTAAGAAATGCCTGAATCAGGTCAGGAATATGACATTTGTTTTTTATTCGCTTAAAGTGTTTGAGCTTCTGATTTTGACATTTGATAAAGGATTTTCCGTTGAAATCAAACGTTTGATAGAGATGTCTCTTTAGTACGGTTCAGAAATTCCGCAGATAGTGTTTCATAACTGTCTTGTCTCATTAAAAAGACAAAACAATGGATATTCTGAACAGGTTAGTAGAAGTTCTAAAAAGATATTGATGTACTCGAAGTGACGAAATTGTACTGAATATCCTCCAGGGAATATTCAACATCTGTAACACGTGATTGTTTTAGAAGATTCAAAACAGGAACAGGCATTGTGGAGAAATTGCTTGAAGGTACACGCGTAGATTTTGGCTGACAAGAAACCATTATTGAAAGACAAACTTAATGGTACGATTGATTGCCTGAATGTATTGTCACATATAAAACAAATATTGTGTGTATGTTGATACAATCTACCATTGCTATCATTTACCTAATTATATTTTTAAATTCAATATACATTTAACTTGAAACAAAATTATTCATATTCTTATGAAAGATTTCTTTTCAATTTCAGTTTGTCCTCAGATAGCTAACTGTAACCACAGAAGATGTAGCAATCCTGGAGACAATTACTGTGAATGGTGTCAATACGAGATAGTTGATAAACAGTACTGGAGGGCATATACACGACACAAGGATGGTCATATGAAAGAATGTAGAAGTAAGTTATAATTACTGTGAATGGTGTCAATACGAGATAGTTGATAAACAGTACTGGAGGGCATAAACACGACACAAGGATGGTCATATGAAGGAATGTAGAAGTAAGTTATAATTACTGTGAATGGTGTCAATACGAGATAGTTGACAAACAGTACTGGCGGGCATATACAAGACACAAGGATGGTCATATGAAAGAGTGTAGAAGTAAGTTATAATTACTGAATGGTGTCAATACGAGATAGCTGATAAATAGTACTGGAGGGAAAAAAAACACGACACAAGGATATGATTATATGAAGGAATGTAGAAGTAAGTTATAATTACTGTTAATGTGTCGGATAGATAGTTGATAAACATTACTGGAGGGCATATACAAGACACAAGGATGGTCAAATGAAGGCGTGTAGAAGTGTTAGTTATAATTACTGTGAATGGTGTCAATACGAGATAGTTGATCAATAGTACTGTAGGGCATATACACGACACAAGTATGGTCATATGAAAGAGTGTTCAAGTAAGTTATAACTACCGCGAATGGTGTCAATACAAGATGGTTGATAAACAGTACTGGAGAGCATATACACGACACAAGGATAGTTAAATGAAAATGTGTAGAAGTGTAAGTTATAATAACTGTGAATGGTGTCAAAACGAGATAGTTGATCAATAGTACTGGAGGGCATATACACGACACAAGGATGGTCATATGAAAGAGTGTTCAAGTAAGTTATAATTACTGCGAATTGTGTTAATACGAGATAGTTGATAAACTGTATGTGAGGGCATATACACAACACAAGGATGGTCAAATGAAGGAATGTATAAGTAAGTTATAATTACTGTAAATGGTGTCAATACGACATAGTTGACAAACAGTACTGGAGGGCATATACACGACACAAGGATGGTCATATGAAGGAGTGTAGAAGTAAGTTATAATTACTGTTAATGATGTCAATACGAGATAGTTGATAAACAGTACTGGAAGGCATATACAAGACACAAGGTTGGTCAAATGAAGGCGTGTAGAAGTAAGTTATAATTACTGTGAATGGTGTTAATACGAGATAGTTGATAAACAGTACTGGAGGGCATATACAAGACACAAGGTTGATCAAATGAAGGACTGTAGAAGTGTAAGTTATAATTACTGTGAATGGTGTTAATACGAGATAGTTGATAAACAGTACTGGAGAGCATATACACGACACAAGGATGGTCATATGAAAGGGTGTAGAAGTAAGTTATAATTACTGTGAATGGTGTTAATTCGAGATAGTTGATAAACAGTACTGGAGGGCATATACAAGACACAAGGATGGCAAAACCAAAAGCTCAAACACATCAAATGAATGGATTAGAACTGCCATAACCTGACTTGGTACAGTCATTTTCTTATGTAGAAAATGGTTGATTAAACCTGATTTTATAGCTAACTAAACCTTTAATTTGTATGACAGAATGAAATAATGTAGAAGTCAGTTATAATTTGTACATAAAATTTTGATTTAAAGAAACAAAACTCTTAATAAGTGATATGCACTTAATAATTGATCTGTATCGTGTCGCCAAACGAATCATTTTAAATGATAAAAGACTTTAACATAACTAAAATATTTAAACTTTGTTCGTAGCATCTCAAACTAGGACCAAGACAAACAAAAACATCACAAAAAGCACAAGAAAGGACACACACACTCAGAATTGAAAATCAACAATTACCTTACCAGGAATGCGTAGACAAGATTTAGATACATATTTCAATAAAGGCAGTTCTTTTCCCGCAGCATTTAGACAAAACGAAAGGCGAAAGATATATATAAGGGACATTCAAACTCACAAGTCAAACACAAAATGAAATGCCAAAGCAAAAAAACAAAAAAGATTAAAAGACAAACAACAGTATACAAAACACAGATAACTAAAGACTGAGCAACACGAACTCATAAAAAACCGGGTGAATAATCAGATGCTCCGGAAGGGTAAGCAGATCGTGCTCTACATGTGGTCTACAAGTTTGATCTACACAAGCTCCAAAACAGGCAATTACAACAATTGTTTAAGAAAGCATATCCACATTACCATTCAACAACGGTTAAGTGGTGATAACCGATACGAATGAAATCCGATAGGAAGAAACAAATGCTATCGAAAAAGTTATATATACTCAACGATTTGGTTTCAATCATTATGTTCTGTTTACAGAAACATGTTCATGGAGATCGGATAGTACACGCTGTTACCCAGGAAACTGTACTGATGAAGTTGCACAGTCGTGTGTCTGTACTGATGGTTTCGGGGGCAACCATTGCGACACAAGTAAGTGTTTAATAAGACTCAACAAAGTAAACAATTTAAAATCAGTTAATTGATCCCTTTGTTATAAACACGTTTTTTTACAACAAAATTAAGTGAGGAAATGCAGTATGATTGACATACATCTATCAGGCGGTCGGTTTCGTCGATTGAAATGTTTTTTATCGTATCATGTCGGGGCCCCCATCTCTTACTACACGATATGGATTCGTTCATTGTTGAAGGCCATACAGTGACCTAATGTTTCTTCTACCACTTCAGTCGGTCTGATGTTAATAGTTATGTAGTTAACAAAAATACCGAACTCCAAGGAAAATGCAAAACGGAGAATCCCTTAACAAATGGCAAAATTAAAAGATCAAAGACATCAAACTAATGGAAAACAACAGTCATATTCCTAACTTGGTACAAGCATTTCCTAATTTAGAAAATAGTGAATTAAACCTGGTTTAACTCTTGCCCTGCGTACAACTTGTTTTCACTGTCGCCAATAATCACTTACGTAGCTCCAATACGCGTCGCGCAGCAAATTCAATTTTACATATGGCAAACTTAAAATACAAGACAGATATTTCTTCCTTGAGTTTTGTATACAATTTCTGCTACAGTTACAGAAGAGACATCAGTGCTATATGCAGAAATAAAACTTCACACTGCAACGAACGAAATTTTAACCACACCCAAAGACCCAAATGATCCAGGGAATGAACCAACTAAATGGACAAATAACAAAAATTTCGGAGAAGCCGAGGTAGAAATCCGCGCCAAGTATGTAGCCTCTGGATATTCCACTACTGGTACACCACCACCTCAACCTGACCCAAATGGGGTAACTCATTATATCACAGACTTTAATCATGGGATAATATATGGGTTGATTACAGTTGACTATATCAGAGGTAAATTGTTAGAATGAATCTTATTTTTATTGAATATCACTACTTTGCGAAACAGACGCCATCGAAACTAGGACATAACAATTACTGTTGTCAAAATGTGCATTTAGAAATAAGCAATTTGACATTAGACAAGCACCAAAACCGTAAAACAAGCTTGGGGAAACATTTGAATAACAGACGATTTTAAATATTATGTATTTCATCTGACAAAAATAGGAAGAGAACCCTGCAGGGAATGTTTTATTTATATTTCACTTACTAATAGTAGTCACAACGTGTGGTAAACTTAAAAGTAAACATCTTCTGAAGTTTAGAACGAAAATATTGAAGTCTCATCATAGAAACAAAATATGTAAGAACATTTAAACTGTTAATCTTTCAAAAACATTTGGAATGGCTATTTTATATTATGCAGTTTTTCACAACTTTACCATGACGGGAAGGTTAAAACCTGCTTTGTGAGATTTTAATGATATCATAATACATAATATATCAAAAGAAAACATTTTTTTCAGGAAATCCAAACGCAAACAATACCTTTTTACAATTTAGTTGTCCAGGCAACGAAGATTCTCCCATAAATGTCAACTATGATTGCTCAAGACTCAGACACAACAACAGTCAGGTTATATTGCCAACTTTTTATCACAGTGACCAGTAAGTTTTTTTGATAAAATTTTTAGACATGAAGTTTGTTTTCAATCATATTGTAAAATGAAGCTTGGAATATGACAGTTGTATCAATTGGTTTGATGTGTTTGAGCTTGTGGTTTTGCCATTTGTTAATGGACTTTCCGTTTTGAATTTTCTTAGGAGTTCGGTATTTTTGTTATTTTACTTTTTGCATCTAAATACAGGACACGAAATGTAGGATACAAATATTTACATGAATGCAAGATATATCTTTGTTTTGAATCAAGTTTTTATTCAGACAGACTACTAACATACCTTGATGTATCTTAAAAAAAAGAGAAGCAATAAACTTAAGAAGGTGCATAGCTTTAAAACTTCGAATGATATAACTTTCTTTTTTATATGTATACTGATAATATTGACACTAAACTAAATACTAAGGAGACATTTCACATTTTCTTGTTGTACGAAATTTCAAAGGCTAACATCTCTTTATAAGACTGCATTTTATA